GTGCCGCTGTGTTGTCAAGCTGCCAGTGGTGAATGGTCGATTGAAGACGTTAAACAAAAGAGTTAGAGTTTGAAGTACTAAATTGTATGTGACGCTCTGCGGCATTTCTTTCAGGTTATAGAGGAGGCGCTTGCTTTTTCAATTCCTTTTTTGTTGTATGACTGCACATCTTCAGTGGGTGGATAATAGTCGTTTTTGGGTGCTTTATTATTATCATTATTATTATTATTTCGCCCGTTTCTGCACACATTCATTGTGGTCAGCAAAAAATCGATGTAAAATTCTTGAAGAACTAATGAGGAAACAAGAGGATTGAAAGTACTATCCGTTCTTTCTTTTTTTCGTTGACTATTTTTGCGTTGTTACTACATCGACTGTACTGTCGTCATCATATTCTAACTAAGCTGAAAACAGCAAAAAGAAAAAGTCACGAGCAAAACTGAGTAGGACCTGTAAAAAATTTTCATAAGGAGCATCAGATATACCTGTACAGCTATTTTATAGTTGTTTAAACAGAAGGTAACAATGAGGAAAAACAGAGGCTCCAAAAAACGCCTTATGTTTTTTGTCACTAAAAACACCAGTTCTTATTTCTACCATAATCTTTTGCTCGCTGATCGATCAAATGATACACCATTTTACATGTACACTTCGTTCGGCTAAGTCCTCTTTAATGCCAAATGCTAAAAGTAAATTCTTGTTTAAGGAGTTAGCAGCGATATTTTAAGACAATTGAGAGATAATTGATATTTTTCTGGGCTATTTAATGATAATCTGTTATGAAATTGTCATTCTACCGTGAAAAAGAAAGGCTAAATAAAGCTGAAGATGCGAACGGAGCTCGCACAAATATACGGTTTTGGACAAGGGGACTCCATAAAGGGATACGCGTTTACTTCTCCTTTTTCTAAGCGTTCTCCACTGTCAATATTCTCAGTTTTTTGCTGTAACTTCCAGTCTTTTGCTTTTCAGAAATTTTTCTATAATATTCCCTAAATCTTTTCCATATAGCTGACATTTGGCATCAGTTTTTCTCAGTGGCTCTTTTTTTCTCCTCTTGTTTCTAAATATAATCCATCATCTTGCATTAAGTTTTAATTGCTTCTTTGTCGAACAATAAGCTCATTTACGTTCTTACCCAAGCGCTGACTTTCCAAAAATTTTCTCCCATTTTTATCCCGTCCACATAATAAAACACATTTTTTCTATTTGATTTTGCCTACGTCTTTTTAAAGCGTTAGTAGTGATCAAAAATAAACTTGGTAATTATGAGTTACATGAACTGTGTTATTTGACAATGACATCCGAACGAATGCGAGGCGACACTGTGCCATCGACGACACACTGAGCTTAATTTTTGCTGCATAGTTCGGATGTGGTCTTACAACGATTTTGGCTATTTGAAAAGGCTTCGGTTTACTCTCTACTTGGGTTTCCGTTGTTGCTGTTGTTGTTGTCGTTGCCTTTGCCGCTTTAGAAGGAGACAGAGAAGTGGAGACAAGGCGCTGATGACGCACGCTTGCCCATTTTGCCTTAGAGCTGCTTTCGGTGTCCACTGTCGCTAGTTGTTCTGACGTTTATGTTGTGGGTTGTCACTTGCATTCGATCTACATATCAATTCCTTTGTTTGTGTTGCTCAGACGTTTACTTAAAAACATTAGTCAATCAGTAGAGTTTTGGTGTAGAAAGCAGTAGAATCGATAGTGGATCTCTTCTGTAGTGTACGTACGTGAAATCAAAAATCAGCCGCAAACCAATAAGTACCACGAAGAATACTTTTTGTTGCATTTTTTTTTTTTGCTTTTAGCTTAAAATCAGTTACTGACTTCAGTTCGATACCAGCCTTAGATGTTTCAAGCATGGAAATGATGCAACAGTTGCAACAACAACAGCAGCCGGACTCTACATGTAAGTCCCCTTTTCTTTTCTTTCGCTTATTACGCTTCTGAATGTGGATTCCGAAAAATTTGTTATTATTGTCATTGCTAATGTCATTATTATTATTATTATCGTTATTATTATTATTTTTGTTTTTATTTCATTATGTTTGCTGGTATTATTTTTATTATTTTTACGATGAACTGTCGAAGTTTTGTTTTATGTCGGTTGATCATCAAAAAAAATTTTTTTTTTACATTTTTTCACGGTGTTTTGAGGATACAGTCTTACCTTTAGAGACTTAATATAAATAAAAAGTTTTACAAAAATTACAAAAACTTTTATGTAAAGGAAAAGGACATTAATTATCTATCAGTTGTTTCAAAACTGCTTTTTTCAACCACGTCTTTTAAAATCATATTCGTGTGCGATAGCCGCTTTTCTACAGATGCTTTTAATTTTTACAGTCGAAGACGCTCTTGATCAAGCATTCGAAATTAGTCCGAAGTCACCCTCGTCCAGCGTTCGATTAGCTCCACATGCCGAAAGTACACCTGTTGGTGCGGACGACAGTTTTGGCGTATGTAGCGAAGTTGAAGTGATTAATGGGAAGGACCAAAATAAGTTAGTTGGAATTCTGACCTTCTCCTCCAAGTAAACTACCGTTTTTATGAGTTGTGGAGCAGCTATTCTTATTTTTTTGCATGTTTGTCATTTAAAGGTAGAAAATTAAGCAGTGACGAGACTAAACAGGAGCGTTTTGCAATTCGTCTCATTTCAAAGTACAGTGAACTGGAACTTTTGTGAAGGAAAAACTTTAAGAAAAAACTTTTGTATTTGTTGTTGATCTTTGTCTTTATTTTTCCCTTTTCTCCTGTAGTCTAAATAATCCTGCCGTTGTAAGTCATTGTTTTGAATTCAAGGGGGAACTGTGATGTATCAGTTGGTTTAGTTTTTACGCAGGGGCGAAAGAGTTGCAATTGACATTTAGGTAAAGGCATTTTTTTTTGGTAGTCCCATTGTGATGGAACCAGAAAGTTGAAGGAATTTCAGATTTTTACGGGAATTTTTTTTTATTCTTCTTTCTACTTCTTTTTTGCAAAAAAAAGTTGAAGCGTTTGCTTAGGTATGAAGTCATCTTGGCAGTTCATTTCTTGTCTTATAGAAATCTATAGAAACCAAATGATTTCAAGTGTTATGGCGAGATTTACCGTATTTTCAGACAAACGCTGCAAGTAACCTCTCATCGCAAACGTCAGAAAACAATAACGCTTTACAGTCAGCTGACACAGGATATTGAAAATATTTTTAGAAACACAAACAGTGTTAGTTAATAATTTTTTTTAACATATATTTTTTTTCTGTTGAGGGAAGCTTGGCAAGTTTAGTTTCTACTTTCATTCTCTTTATTTTGTTCTTTCAATGCTTGTGTCAAACGACCTGCTTTACTCACTAAATTTATCTGATCATTTTGTTTTTATGCGTCATCGGTTTTTTTTTTTTTTTTTTTTTTTTTTTTTTTTTTT